TTTCTTTCAGTTGATATGGGTGCTTTCAGTTGATGAGGTCGATCGCGGGGAATGGGTTCATTCTATTTTTTGGAAATGGGAGGTCTCTATCTCCCCTCTTCCATTGTTCGGTTCGCTAGAGATCCATTCGAAAATTACCCTGTCGACAAAGATCAGATGTTTATTCAGGATTTTTCTCTCTATGATTATAGGATTTGTATTGAATCGAATTCAAAGATTTTGGTTGAGATGGTCACGGGGTTTGGTGGAAATTAATTAGAAGGGGTTGTTGATCAAAAACTGAAGATATATCTTGACTGGAACGATTTCCACTTAGCTGGAAGAGTGCATCTCACGCAAGATTTTCAAAGCATTTTTGCTCCAAGGATAAAAGCCAGCAGCAACTTTTATGCAAATCAATGGATCTTGTATACAAAAAAAAGGGGATTAGCCGGTTATTTCTTCTCATCAAATATACCAAGTCACTCAAGATTTCTCCTAATACAAGATTATCACCAACTAAGCTTCTTAAGGATGAAGACTTCTACTTTAGTTACGACTTTAGATAATGTAATATGCTTGAGCTTTTTTTATTTTTATATTGGTCTTTTATATCGCAGCTTTGGGATAATGTATTTAGATATTGTGCATTAATTATATGGTTGGTCGATAGTCTATAAAATAATTTTGGATGTTTGTTTAATTATGGGTTTTATGATGTAAAAACACCCATGTTTTTTTAATTACTCTGTATAAATTTGATGGTGATGATAATAATATACATTAATATATATTTTGTATAGTAGTTTTGATGCGAAGATTAGTTAATACTGGCCAATATTTTGGATTGGATTTGTCTATGGGTAAAATGGTAAAAAACCACTAAAACAATGGCATAATTCATGGGTCCCACAAAATTGCAATGTTACTAACCAAACGATGGGTTAGATTGGATCTAACACATAACCCATCTAATGTAAGTGGCTAAATGGTTTTGGATTGGGTGAGATAGGATATAAAAATGAAATCCTATCCAATCTTGATTAACCATCCAAACACCCCCTATAGGATTTACTCTTTGAACTTGAACCAAACATGAGTTTATGATGTATGTTAGACTATTTTCACAGAACTCGCCTCTTAAATAACATGCAAACCTACGTACAAAGCAGGCTAGGATTATCTTTGAGTCCGATGAAGAGAATGTTGAGAGAGAGAGAGGACATGCCGCTTAGAGATGCCTCCTCTCTCTCTCTCTCTCTCTATATATATATATATAAAATAAAGTAGATATCACAATTGACTCCTAGCAAACAGTCTGGCTCTTCATTGAAGTTTTCATTAAAAGTGCGTTTCCATGAAGCTCCCCTTGAAAAGGACTACTATGCTCTCTCTCTCTCTCACGCACACATACACTCACACACAAAAAGGTGAAGTATTGTATGTTCCTTTTAATCCTACGATGGAAGGACATATTCAATTCTTTTCTAGACCAGGCGAACGAGTCAGACGTGATTCAGAGTGATGGGCAAGTACTCAACTGTTCAATCGATTCGTGAGGGAATTAGTAGGTGTCAACTACTAGGTCATACACTAATACATAGGTAAAAAAAATTCCCAACTGAGAAGTGAGATGGAATTAACTGAGTCTTACTAAGGGAACCACTATATGTAGGTTCCTTAATTCCAGAAACACAAAACTTCAAAGAGACCAAAAGTCCAGAACTTATTGGTTCTAACTACCAAGCAAAACCATGGACTAGTGAAGTTTGATCTCGAATACCAATCTATTTTTATACAATACTTCAATCGCGTATGCAATTCCGGAAAGGGTACACCATGTTAGAGGTGCGTGGCTCGTTCTGAGCCAACCGCGAGGGACAGGACAAGGCATTGTCTTGTCCTGTCCTCCATGTCACTGGGGGTAAATCTGCATATTAAAATCTCAATCTAGATAAAAACAAGAGGATGTTTGACAACTGCGTTATATAGTTGCTGTGTATAAGAGCCAGTTGAGCTGAGTTTTTTATGGCCTTATTTGGGATTGAGAAAGGAACTTAAGCCGTATGTTATATTCTTTTTAGCGGACTGACATCTCTGTATACAAGTAGAGCCCTCATTAATAGTGGATGATCTACTAAGAAGAAAATTAAAGTAAAAGTGTATTGGAGGAGATCTGAATCTCTTTTTAACATACTGGCGTAATTCATTGACTCGAACGATTATAACATAATGTGGAAGACATGACAGTAGCTACATTCCTTTGAACAAGTCTATGGCCAAAAACTTAAAAACAAAACAACAGCAGATATTGAATGTCTCGGAGCAGTTTAAATTTCGATAACCTGACTAGAATAGTTTGATACATTGAGACATTCTGGATCCATCACTTTGTCATGAACTTCTCAGATTTTATCCAGGAGGTGAATATGTGAATCTGGATAGCAAAGTTGGCCCTAGCAGAGTGGCTGACCAGGTTAATCACTCGTAGTAGTATTTTTTTTTTCTGGGTATCCCAACTGTCCCATTAGATCATCCCAATATTCCCCGCTTTACGTACCATATTAGTGTTGGATCTTGTGCAAAGCTACCTCTCCTCACAAGAAGATGATAAATCTATGGACTCATCAGAAAACTGGTGTCTACTAATTTTTCACGGGTTGTATGTGAAGAATGCTGATACAATGGACACAATACATCGAGGTCCAAAGTTTGATCCTTACAAGATACATATCGGTTGATCCGATATTGGTCTAATGAGTTTTTATGGTATAACCACAAATCTAAACAAAGCATGATTTAAATGGTATTCTGTTATTAATACGACAATATAATCTCGATATTGTTTTGAAAATTTGTGGAATTGATAACAAATATGGCATTTAGTTTTCAATTTTTTGACCCTATACTTTTTCGGGGAATTAAGCATAGTCCTAGTTTTGATTAATGACCATTTAAATTACCAAGATTGCTGTTGCCAACTGCGAATATCTTCAACTTTAATGCAATTTGAACCAAATTTATCGTTGTTAGTAGATTAGTAATAGTTAATAGTATTTTTGGTCTTTAAAGTCTATTCATTTTTTTAGTTTGATATTTAATTTATTAATTTTGTCAATTTAGTTATTAAATTATTTAATTCGTGATTAAATGATCCCCACATAGATGACCCGCTAATTTTTTGTCAGAATGATCACGTGTTGGTCATGTGATACCATTTGAAAGAATGACATGTGATTAATTCCGTCAAAAAACTTAACGAATTATTTGATTAGAGACCAAAGTCACATGAATTAAAACTTTAGGGATCAAATTGATAAAATTAATATAACGAGGACTAAACTGATAAAATGGACATACTTTAGGGACCAAAATTACTATTAACCTTTAATAATATATTCTTTCAACCGTAGTTAAACAACTAATAGATTCAGTCCGATTTTGAGATACAAAATTTTGTTTCGATGCATTATTTCAATTAATTGTGAAACAAAAACATTTCGAAAAATATTATGAAAGTAATTGGAAAACATGATACGAACATAAAAATCTTGAAAATTTGTTTCTAAAATATAATTCTAAAACAGAGGGAAATACATTGAAATATAAAAACTTTTATATTTAATTATTGATTTTAATTTCTATAAAAAAAAACCGACACATTTCAACCATTTTAAAATGAAATTTAATGTCTTACTTTGGGTCCACTAAAACTTGTTTGCTTGAGTCGAGCACTATGTCAGTTGTATGACACTCAAAACACCAAGAAAGCAAGCCTTAAGAGCAAAGGGTCTGATGGATTTGTCACACCAGTTCTGTACTTCAAAAAGGGTAAATTACATTTGCACCCCTTAAACTATCACCTTTTCTCACTTTATCCCCTCAACTACCAAATTTTTTACATTGCACCTTAAACTAACACTTTTGTTTCACATTATCCTAATCACAAACATCTGTTATTTTTTTTAGATAAAAATTGCTGATATATCAGAGTAAAATGAAAAAAAATTATATAGTTTAGGGGTAAAATGAAATAAATTTTTATTTAATATGTCAGACGTTAATAATTAGGGCAATGTGAAACTAATCACATACTTGAGAGTGCAATCTAAGAAATCTGATAGTTGAGGGGACAAAGTATAAAAAAAACAATTAGAGTTCAAGGGTTTAATTGTAATTTACACCTTCAAAAAGGAAAGACATTAATAAAGTTGGAATACTCAATGAGCTGGACATCATCAGCAAATCAAGATTTAACATGCAAAATATGAGTACCGACCTTCATAACCATCAATATCAGAAAGGCACATCAACCATGAAGTCAAACTGATTGAAACTGGCCCTGCAACTACCTAATAAGCCTTCTTCAACTTCACTCGTCTCTACCAAACTAAAAAACTAAATTAAGAAGGGCAAATTACACTTTGTATGCTTAGACTGCCCCGCTGTTTTACTTCACCTCCTCAGTTGTTGAGTTTCTCACATTGTCCGCTCAATTGCTTGAATTGGTTTGAGATAGTGAAGTAAAAACACAATTCCGGGATAAAGTGATAACTTTCTATCCAATTTGCTAAAAGACGTAAAAAACTGAGCTTGTGTGAAGTGAATAATCATAATTGTCGGTACAAAGTGATAAACATGACAGTGAATCAGGGTGTAATGCGAGACAAAAGCACAATTGAGAGGGTGAAACTAAATTTACTTGAACTAGAAAAGCAACAAACCCACCCCCAAAACACCAACCTTTCAAATTTCTTTCGAGAAGGTCTACATATGAGCCAGTTTGTTTAATCAAATGCAACAATGAAGCTACAGCGTTAGTGTGACTAGTTGACAGCTCAATGAAACAAAGTAATGCTTGAAACAAAAGCAAAACCTTTCCTTCTCCCTCACTCAAGAAAACTCATCTGACCCCATCAAACATAACCAAATAAATCTCCAACCAAACCAATCTACACCACTCTTACCACCCATAACGAGGACCTAATGGTGGCTGCAGTGGAGCTGAAAGAAAGAGCAGAATGCCACCAGAGTCCTCTCCTTGCCATCATCCTCTCGGTACTCCACTAACCCCGCTACTATCACCTATCTCTCCCAAATCCAGGCTCCATCCAAGTCGAAATCTCAGCCATTGTCAAGGTACAAGAAGAATGGTAATTACCAAAAAGAATCTCATTCCCCTCCTTGTTTTTGTCTTATCAACTCTCTCCATCCTCAGACTTCTCAAATTGGCCATAACTACATCCTCTTCTCCTCCTGCTTTGCCTCCAACTCTTGCTTTACACACACAAGGCCCCTCGAGTAGTCGACCGATCTTTCCAGCTAATGCTAACGCCCTCACAGAAAAGGAATTGAGATTTCTATCAGATCTCATTTCTAATAGAGCACCTTGCAACCTCCTTGTTTTCGGGCTCGAACAACAGTACATGGATCTCTCATCATTGAATGCAGGTGGAATCACTATCTTTCTCGAGGACAATTCCGACAAGCTAAGCACAATCAAATCAAACTCTAACAGTTCTCGTGTTTACAAAGTAGAGTATCCGACACCTGCCAGAGAAGCCTACAAACTACTCAAGCATGCAAGAAAAAACCCGGGATGTTCGCCTAACACGGGTCTTCTTGAAGCATCACTAAAGTGCAAATTAGCATTGAAAGAGCTTCCAAAAGAAGTAGTGGAGCTGAGATGGGATGTGGTGGTGGTGGATGGACCGAGTGGGGATGGACCAGAGGCACCAGGCAGAATGGCTGTAATCTATTCTGCTGGTATATTAGCAAGATCTGGGAATTTAACTGATGTAGTTGTACACGATGTGGATCGTATGATTGAGAAATGGTTTTCATGGGAGTTCCTATGTGAGGAGAACTTGGTTTCTTCTAAAGGTAAGTTCTGGAATTTCAGGATAGCAGGACAGTCCAATTCAACAACATTTTGCCTTACATAATGATTCATTTCTGGCAGATAACAATAACAGTTTCAGGTATTTTTTGTAAATATGCTCAAGTAAGTTCTATCAAAAGCCATTGTACATCAAATACATAGTCATTCAAGTGATACAACACAAAAATAATACGACACAGATACGATTGATACCCTTTCCCACAAATTAGCCTTCAGGCTTAAATTATTCCTTTACTCGGGCCCGTCTAACAACAATTGAAGATTCAATTAGAAAAACAATTGAGGATTCAATTTATTAAAGATAACATCTAAAATGTATAAGCATGCAACAAATAGAACAAGATTTTAAAATTCTTAAATAGGATGTAGATTTGTTACCTGTTCGGCTATTCTTGATAGCCTCAATATCACAGCAATTTTTTTAATTTCTTTTTGACTCCTTCCCCAGCACAATTTAAAAAATATGAACAGTGTTAACTGTCTATAAAACAGCAAACAGGGAAGGCTAGTTTACTACTTGACATATTTGCAGTCTAAGTTTGTGTGGTTAGGGGTTAAAAGAGGCTGACACACGTATTTATACCAAGAGAATAAACTAATTGGGTAGAGGGTAGGTGGATAGAGTAAGTGCTCTCAACAGCTAACTCTTAATCAAAAATTCCTTGCAGTGGACAAGTAATGTAGGTATTTATAACACAGTGCCCGGATAGATTGGGTTGCCTCAAGGGCTGCCCATCGCGCCAACTCACAATTGCCTCGATCGCGGCGATACCAGTGGCTACTAAACGCGAGTCACGTGTCCTAACATTAATTAAGTGGATGTGTGTTTCCTCAAAGGCATCCTGGATGTGGCCCCGAGGAGGGTGCGACAATCGAGGCAAAAGGGGGCTTCCAAGGTTAATGATTGCAATTGATCACCACAGGATCAAGTCATTGAGAGGGTCATGTACGCAATGCCCCCAGTGCGCTCGTACCCAAGGTCCTCCCTTCTCTCTTTGAACTTTTCCTCGAGACCTTTGTCAGAGTGCCCGATAGAGGAAACTCATATAGTGTTGCTCTTTCAACCACCAATCTATGTATCCCATTATCCCATATGTTGATTCAGGCTGATAACCCCAGTTACCTTAGTAGTCCCTCCGGATCCCAATCAAGCACGTCCTATATGTTCAACATTAATTTAGTGTATGAAAACATTCTTTGGCAATTCTTTTCTTTTATTCTTCTTTTCTTTTTGATTGTGGTACTAACATGCTTCAATTTATCATCCAGTAAAAGTAAAATAGGCATCAAACATTAAACATGTCTGACATTTGAAACAAGAAAAATGAGTTGGACTATCTTTAAGACAGTGACACTATTAGCAAGTGTGATAGTTTCAAAAGTTTAAGACAACACTAAATATTCCAAAACCAGGTGAAATCATATTGATTTGATAATACTGGTTAAACCTTGTAAAAAATGCAGAGATGTTAGTTATTTCAAGCAACAAAAGTTGGTTATTTCACTCTAAAATTGAGGTATCACAAAAAAGATAGCATGTATATCACATAAAGTTGACTTTCTACCTTTTCCAGCATTTCTCCTTTATCTTTGCCAGCATTTCTCCTTCATGTTTCAACTAAAGAAAATTGTCCATGATGGGGATTCTGCAAACAATTTAGCGGGAGATTCAAACTATTAAAAACTACTTAATTCTACAAACAATTTTTTAGGAAAGCAAACAAAAACACATAAAGTCTTATTATTGCTCAATTTGTATGATTGGATTGCAATCATGTTACCGTTTAACAGGTTGGGTGTTTTGAGAAGATAGAAAGATAACTACCACCACAATTCGACCCTGTCTTACCCCCTTTAAGGGAGACTATCACATGCCAATTGACATTCTTTGAACTTGCAACTCAAACCCAACCAACACACTCGTTCCCTGTATTAATGTACATAATTGTCGTCATTAATTATTTTTTCTGCAAGATATTATAAGAAAATAAAAAAATGGTAAGTGTAACGTCTCAAAACCCACCTTGGACGGCATTACAATCTATAAATCATTCACATCATGAGAGCAACTAAATAATTCCATCATTAAAGAAATTACACCCATCAACTATAACATTTATAATATTATCCCAAAAGAATAGGCCAACCATGACTATTACATCCCCAAAGAATCACATGTAAACTTGCAGCAGAATTACAAAAGGATTTACTTTACATAGTCTCAAAATAAATATCCTAGTCTAGAACAAAAGAGAATGTAATTCTAGACGTCCCCCCCGGGATCCACGTTCCCTTCTATAAGAGCTTCCCAATGTGCTTGTTCATCTACTCCTAGCTCCTCCTCTAGCACATAATTTGAAAAATATAGTTTGTAGGGGGGTGAGCACTAAGCTCTATAGCAACCTTCCTCACAAACTCGAATAAGGTTTGAAAAACATGTAAAACAGTTCGGTCTCATTTTTTCAAAATAACATATATAACTTGAAATAAAACAGTGACAATTTATTCGATCTCAAGTGTACGTAATCGCAATAATTTAAATGAACAGTAAAACCAAGTTACAACATTTCCAACCATAATCATTTTCAACAAGTTCTTGTAGAGTCTCATACCTCCACAAGCTCTTGTTGGAAACCAATTCCGAACAACAACATTAATCCCATGTTCTCATGTATGTTTGTTGCTTCCCATGAATCTACACATCGACTCTATTTCGTTCACCCAATCATAACCACACAAATCACTTTTAGGAAGGGCATATACCATCTCCCACGACATTGATGAATCCTTCCCAGGAAAGGTATACTCACCCTCAGCCTCGAACTTACTTGAACAATAATGATTACTCTCACAAACAACAAACCACTATAAGTGTTAGGAAACCATCTCACCCCCACTGGGATAGCTAACCTCTAACACTCTATGACAGTGCCCGAATGCAATTCAAGTCCATCACAACAACCATACAAGAAATATAATTCCAACCAAATTCTCAAATAACAACAATTCCATAAATCCCCAATTTCATAATTTGTAATACAAGAGAACAATTTAAGAAAAATAAGCAAGAGATCATTACAACTTCATTTAATTACTCAACACCAAGCACTAAAGTTTCAAAGTCAAGAACAAAGGAAGAATCAAGACGAAAGTCCATCTCTTTTGAAACCTAGGGTTTGATATCAAGAAAATGAGATTTCATGAGTATTCAACCCTAACTTTATTTAAAACACGCTAATAATTGCAAAAGATCAAGGAAAGATGATTTCATAACAGATATATAAGATTTAGAGTTAAAAGAATACATATATATTAGCCATAGCATCAATGGAAAAGAATGAAAGAAAATCCCCTACCTTGATGTTCTTGAAAAGACTAGGTTTTGATCTTCTTGAAGTTGAAATCCCCTTTGATCTTGTGTTTTTTTCTCTTCCTTTACTCCTCTCTAAGGTCTCCTAGGGTTTTGAGTGTTGAAATGGGGTTAAAGGGGTTGTCCTTAAGTATTTATAGTGAAAGAAAAGCTAGCTATTCGTGACTTAAAATTTTTAAATTTTTCGAAGACCTTCCGAAAGGTTTGCCTATTTGACAAACCATTTTCATTAACCTTCTGGAAGGTTGTCATCGACCTTTGGGAAGGTTTGTCATCGATCTTTCGGAAGGTTTGCCTATTAGGCCAACTTTTTCAAAGACCTTCTGGAAGGTTTTGCCTACTGGTTAAATCTTTAAACTTAACCTTCCGGAAGGTTTTTCATCGACCTTCCGGAAGGTTTTGTCTGTTTTTCTACAAAATCTCCCTTTTTTTATTTTCAATCTATTCCAAACCTTTTCAATTCCAACCCAAGCTTCTTCAACATGCTTTTGTACATCAAACCTAGTTGGTATAAGTTTTATTACAACAATTTCATATATTTGCAAGCTAAATTAAGTTTTAACTACTATTTCCTGAATTTTTTCATATTAATATTTCAAAAGAATTAACAACTTGCTATATAAACTTATATACATATATAAAGATAAAAGTGTGGGGTTTATAGTAAGGATTTTGGGATAAATGCGTACTAGATTTATTTATGGGGGAAAAAGGTTAAAGAGAAATCAAACTATAGAATTAAATGTTTTTATGATGGTTCTTAAGTTGCTAACTTTTCGATTACAAAGCAGATTTTGTGGTGGATAATATTGTATATGTTGATGAATTAAACCTTTGTTTCTTTTCTTTCTTGATCTATGAATTTGAATGTTTAGTTGTTAGGAGGTTAACTGGTGCATTAGTTAACTTCATTTACAACCTTACATTTGCCGACTTCAATGACATGTTAGAACTTCCCTCCCAACAAGCCTATTTCGATTGCTTTGTTCTGCCCTAATTGTTCAACGCACAAATTTCTGTTGTCTCAATCTACCCACCTCATAGACCCATCACCCACAAGAGGTTCAATCCACATTTGTAACCCATAAACCCTAAAGACTTGAGAACCGGCAAGCCCTAAAAGGCCGAAATTGAAGACTCACTCTTTGTACCTATTCACGGTTCACCTCCAAAATTTCTGCTCTTTGTCAACTTGGATACCTTTGTTCTTCTGTTCTATACCCACATTTGATCCTTTTGTTGTGCATATTTGTCCATACTATGCCTAAGTCCATTAGGCACCTTTGGTTCTCAAAGGTAAGGATACAATTGCCAACAATAGCAACCAGGTTAATGAGATACAAGAATCTGGTGAGGGATAAGGCCTCAGTGATCACTTCCTTGCTAGTTGCAAAAATCAGCAGTTTGAAGCCACGAAAACTGTTTTACTCTATGGTCAAGTGAGTTCTAACCCTATTGACAAAGCCTCTCTTGTCATACCCCCACAGCTGGGAAGTGGGAAGGTGAATTCAAATTTCAATCCACCTAGGGAGCATACTTGGAGCCAAATACTCCAATCTATTGGGTCTAACCAAAACCCAAATGGACCAACTGAAAATAGGTAGACCATGAGGTTAAAATTTTAGGAGCCTCATAGGAGAAACAACAAAGTTGTGGTGTCTCCTCTAGAATCTATAGCTAAGTTTGGGTACTGTAATTGGAAATTTTGCCTCATAGGGTACT